TTTCAAAGTTACAAACCCCACTGCCATAACGTGTCACTACATGCTTCTTTCAGTGTTATAGTCCTGGAGTATTTGGCAACATCTGCTCCAGTCTACCTGGCTATTTTCTAAGGAAATTGTTCTTCACTGATCGTTTGAATCTAAATCAAAGTGAAGAGTCTAGCACGCACTTTGAGTAGTACACAAACAGGGCACAAAACATGGTTTTGTTAGGAGAAGCTTTCCTTATGTCCAAAAATGTTTAGCAAATAATGTTTAGGAAAAGATTCCTATGCAACAAGTAGCAAAGGTGACTTAATTTGGGTCTTTCTCCTGCTCTTTCAATTTTTGTGTTCTCAAGCTTTTGCTACTGTCGTACTCAGCTGGACAGATACAGAGCGCACAGTCCCATCATAAATATAAATGAGTTCAAATCCCTCGCCCCAAGAACATGCAGTGTCATAACGAAAATAGAACTCTCTCTTCATTATTAACAGTCATTCAACCAGTAACACAAAGGTGCACAAAGGACTGGTGCTCCCTTGGACCGAAACATTTATGAAATACAGCTGATAAGTGTTTAGTTTATTAAGGAACTGTTTTGTGGGTAGGTCTTTTGTTTGTGTTTTTGTTTGTTTGTTTTTTAAGTAACTAACATGACACTTCCCCTCCAAATAAAAATACATAATGGAAAGAAAAAACTCTGCAGAATGCAAGGAGGACGCAAGGACAACCACGGACTGTTCTGGCTTAGCAAAGACCTGCAACAACAGATCTCCAGACCCAGTGCCAAGGAGCCACCACACTCGAGACGGCAGGGCCAATCTGTCCAGTGACCAAGACTGCAGAGAGAAGTTTCATAGCCCATGCATCCTTGCAAAAAGCTCAAGCAGATGCATCTCCGATTCACAGTGGTGACACAGTGCCAGCACGTGAGCTATTTCAGTCTTCACAAGTCTCACATTTCGTTACTCAGTGGTAATTTAGCTATTTATTCACGCGAAGACAGTTTAAAGCCAGTAAGTGCAAGCTCCACCAGCACAAGTTCCTGAGCTCCTCGCTCAAGTGGGTCTGGACTGGCTGTAGTGCATGCAGCGGAGTGCTTTCCCCAGGCCTCTTTAACAGGCCTCGTTCAGGCTACAAAGCAACCAAAGGAGACCGCAGCCACAAAGGAACTAAGAATTAGGATTTGTCCAGCTTGTGCGTGCGCTCGTGCCTCCGCAGGGTGCCTGACTCGGTGAAGGAGTGACCGCAGTAGTCGCAGGAGTAGGGTTTTTCCCCGGTGTGGATGCGCTGGTGGCGCTGGAGCGATGCCAGCCGGGTGAACGTCCCTCCGCACTCCTCACAGTAGAAGGGGCGCTCCCCGGAGTGAGTCTGCTGGTGTCTTTTCAGCCTGAGCAGCTGCACGAACGCCATGCCGCATTCCTGACACTTATAGGGCTTCTCTTGCCGGTGGATCACCTTGTGCTTGGAAAGCAGGTTAGGTTTGTCAAAACCTTTGCCGCACGTGGGGCAGGCGTAAGGCTTACAGTCTTCTTCCTCAGCCTTGTGGTTCTCCGCACAAGGCTGGTCGGTGTACTCAACAGTCTGCTGGTTACGGTGCACAATGGACCAGGGGTTCCTAGCCATGCCATTCCCCAAAATCACCATGGAGCGCTCTATCTTGTGCACGTTGCGCAGGTGCCTCCAGACATCGGCCGTGCGAATGAAGCCCTTGTCGCACTCGGGGCATTTGTGCGGCCTGTCACTAGAATGGATCAGCTTGTGCATGCGCAAATTGGCCGCGCGGAAGAACTCTTTGGCGCAGACAGGACACCGATAGGAGTTTTCCACCAGGTGAGTTTGCTTATGCTCCTGCAGCTCGCTCATCCCCTGGAAAGAGGCACCACACTTCTTGCACCGATACGGCAAAGCTTCTCCAGAGATGGGTTCCACATCCTCCTCAAACACAGCACCAAGGATGGCATTCTCATTATCACCACGCGCTCTTCTCCGTGGCTTCTTGGACCGCTCAGAGGAACAGCGCCCTGCGTCTTTATCTTCACACTGCAGGTCCAAGTTGGTACTGGAAGGGACAAATACCCCAGCCGTGCTCTCACCTCGTTTCTGGTAGCAGGTCTCACAGGATTCCTTGTCTTCGCTCTGCAGCTCTGCTGGAAGCTCCTGCTTACCTGGCAGTCCAGCAGAGTTGCAACAAGGACTGGATGTCTCTGAGAAATTCATGTCTACCTCCTCCTGAAGGTTAGGTTTGTGGCCCACCTCCTCAGTGGTCTTTCTGGAATAATTTGACTGATTCTCACCTGTGTCACAAGAGTTACTCTCAGAGCCCCAGTCCACCTTCACATCCATCCTCTGCTGTGTACGCCGTGTTCACCTGCAGCTCCTTGATGATGCGGATGCCAAGAGAGTCAAGTCTTTCATGGTAAGTCCATCTCATTCTCAGCTCTCCTTACAGTCCTCCTTTGAAAATAAAACACCCGTTTCAACAGTGATTTTCTGGTATTAATAGAAGTTAAGACAGTAAAGATATTTTTTTTTTTATTAAAAGAATGGGACAGGCAGTCATTTACGTGGAAGGAGAAACAATCATCTACTGTTGTGGATGTAAAATACGTACATTCAGCATGTAGAATACACACAGACTATGTTTAACAAGGTTAAATCCTCTGTCACAATTCAGCCTCCTCTACAAATATAAATTGTTAAACAACTTACAATTTAAACTCACTTAAAGACAAGAAGCCTTCAGAACTCCGGGGTGCAAACGCTTTAGGCAAAGTCCTGCACTTCTCTCCCTGGTTACCCCCACAAGTCTTTATCCAAAAGACTCATGTTTGTTTTTACTTTGCTAAATAAAACTAGAAGAACCTGTTACTGGAGGAAAGCACCTTGTGACTGGTAAGGTAATGCAACGAGACCGCGGGACTATGCCAAGCAGCCAAACCCAACAGCAATAAGAGGCTCTGTATAGCAGGTGGGCTTGGAGAGCTCTGGAGCACCTTCGGTCATCTTTACCAGCATTATCCGAAGCATCCTGAGGATGTTTGGGACCCCTGTGCCACCATCAGCTGGCACCATGCAGAGAAGACCGCTGTTCTGCAGCAACAGGCAAGAAAAGGTATCAAAGAGCTGTCCAGAAAGCTTACTAACCATCCTCCCAGGCTTCAAAGCGCCGCTAGTAATCTTCCAGAGCTGGTCCGCTGTGACAGCTTCAAATACTCTGGGTAAACAGCCCTTGCAAACTGACCTTGCTAACAGAGAATATGAATATATGCAAAGGTAATCGGTCCAAAACGCATGAGTCACAAACCTTCTTGTGAGGAAGATGTTTTCATTTATGCCATCCCAAGCTGTGGATTTGCAAGGTTTTCTAGATTTGTCCCAGCAGCCTCTGATGACAGCAGCTCCACGGGGAGCTTTCAATCACCTGGTTTAAAAACGTGTTTGCATTGAATTGCTAATCTAACCTCGGAAAGCACAATTTTTTCCATCCTGATGACTCCCTTGGTTGTCCCTGACCCCCACATTCTCCTTAACACCCATGTTTCATATTCCCTGCACTCCCACTGTTTCTTCACTTCCTCATGGCTGCTTTTGTCTGGGTAAGACTTCTCTGAACACAAGCACATATATACCCCCACAAATCCATGTAAGCACGTATGTATGCATGGATACAATTCCATACTGACATGCACACAAAGCTTGGCTATTTGATTTCAGTTCGCTAAAATAGTTATAAAGGCAGTATAGCAGCGTGCTTTAAGTGAAAGGTCTCATTCACGTCTCAGAAAGGCCGGTTTCATTCGAGACACAAACTGCGCTTTCTTCTACTGTGATGCAGAAAACAAGCCTGAATCGGTCGTCTTCATTAGTCACTGCCTGGAACAGAATGGCTCAACTCACCCACCAACTTCAACTGTTCCCACTAATTTAATACTACTTGCATGAAAACAGGAACTATTCCTCACTCCCTACAAGATGCCGAGCATCTCCCGTGGCACACCTTCAGATCCCTAGTTGAGTCACTGATTTGCTTTTTCCTTTGTTGAAAAAGAACTTCTCAAAGCAGGCTGGCACCGCTCGGCTTAATAAAACTCCCTGACCATGCCCGTCTGGTTTCCATGGGGGGAAAAGTATTTAAATCATGATGCAGGCTTTAAAAAAAAAGGAAAAATTAAGGCAAAATGAAAACACCACGCTTTTCCCTGCCCTGCTCACTACCTGTGGGGATCCTCATCAAAACCGGGGATCAGCTTGGCCTCATGCTGGCAGCGCAGTCACAGCGTACCCAGTCCCACAGCAGCTGGTGGCAGGGTGACCCCCCAGTGCCCTTCTGGGTGGCCTTGCTGCTCAGAGCTGCAAGAACAGGCAGAGGAACAGCCCCAGGGCTATCAGGGAGCTCACGATTACCCCCCACGAATGGTTACTGCTCATCTTTCCACAGAAGTTCAGCAGCTATTGGATTTGATTCCAGGCTTTGGTTTGTTAGAAGAAACAGGCTCTGTGCTTGTAAGGCTCTGGCCACCTCCCTGACTTCTGTGCCTCATTCCCTTTTTGAATGAGTTTTTCCTTCAGCCTCAACATCCAGAATTGCAAGCAGCATTTTCTTTGATGTCTCACCAGGCCTTCCACTACCCGGCACTATTTCCTTACTCTTAATGGCAGTCCTCTGACACATCCTAGGATCCCATCTACCTTTTTCAAAGCCACAGGACAACAGCAGCCCCCCAGCATTCTCAGGCTCCTTTCCTCCCTCCTTCGCAGCTGATAAGCCACCAATTTGAAGCAGAAAATTTCACCATTTGTCTACCACCACTTCCCAAATTCTTCTTATTTTTCTGCAGCTCTGTTCATACTCCATGTCAACACATTTCATTCCCTCAACTCCTTTCTTGCATTAGCACCATCGGACTAATTGTTCAACACAAAGAGTCGAAGCTGCAGTCCCCGAGAAGCCCCGTTATTAACCTCCCAACAGCTTCTCTTCCACTACACGTTCCTCCCCCAGTTATCGTACTGACCGGTGCGGTGCTTCCTGCAGTCACCATCACTCTCCAGCACCACCACATGATCTTGCAGAGATTGCTCCTGCTTTCAGCGTTGCAGTTATGCTGAACATTGGACAGCTGTCTCGGTGGATCTTCTTAACAAAGCTCACAGGTTTTCAAAACGGGTATCTACAAATAACAGCACATGGAGAGATGAAGTCAAAACCAAACAGGAGTGTACATTATTAGCATGGAAATATGGCATTTAAGTTTTGCTGTGCGAATCTTGCAGAGAAAGAGCTGTCATTTCAACTCTCACAAACTAGGAAAAAACTCATGAGTTTTTTTTTTAAACAAGCATTTTTTTCTGAATTTAAAATCTTTGACATTTCTTACTGTAATGCAGCAGTTGGGCACAGCAAAGGCTTTCTTCCACCTAGACCCATGACACACAAAGTCACGTACCTCTTCGCTGTCCCTAACACATCCCTTCGTTCATCAGTATTCATTAGGAAGACCCTAGCAATACAGAAGCATGTATGGGACCAACAGCCAGCATGTTTGTGTGGGGTGCAGGTGATAAATGGTCATTTTCTGTTCAAAACCCAAACCCAATCCGTACACAAATCATGGGCTATTACAACTGATACATTAAAACATGAGGGGATGCATGGAAAGAAGGGATGATGAGTGGTTCTGGCCAAGCAGGCTGTGCAGCCTAGCAATGAGACTTCTGCAAAACCAGCATCAGAGGGTGGTGACTCTTGCCAGTAGAGCCCCTTGTGCTTGGAAAGCACATTAAGTTCATGGCAGCCTTTGCCACACATTGGACAGAGTTACCATATGGTTTACATTCTTCTCCAGATTTATGGTCATCCCAATATTGCTGATAAACATTGTTCTCATCCTCCTGAGTCCTGTGTACCTGAGACCAAGGCTTCCCAGCCACACCATTTCCTAAAATCTTTGAATGCTCTATGTTGTGCACACTGAGTAGCTGCCTCCAGATACTAGCCGTGCCAGTGAAACCCTTGTCACACCCTGGACACTCATGTGGCCTGCCACTACAACGCATATGTGCATTTATAAATTTGCAGTAAGGAAGAGCTGCTTGCTACCAACAGTGATACGGGTTTCCCACAAGGTGAATCTGCTTGAGTTCCTGCAACTCACTTGCATCCTGGAAACAGGCATTGCATTTCTTTCTCCTGTAAGTCAAAGCATCTCTAGAGATGGGTTCCAGGTCCTCCTCCCCAGAGCATTAATAAGAATGATGCTTGCATCATCCTTGCTTCTCCCTCCTTGAGGTTCCTCTGAGTGTTTAGAGGAACTCTAAATCTTTATCTTCACTCTGCAGGTCTAAGTTGGTACTGGAGGTGTCAAAAACCCCAGGGGTGGCTGAATTATGTTTCTGGTGGCAAGTTTCAAAGGTCTCCTCGTCTTCAGACTGCAGTTCTATACGAACGTCTTCTCAAACTGATGGTCCAGCAGGAAGGCACCTAGGAGTAGACGGGGGTGAGTAATTTTCCTCCACCTCCAGCTGGAGGCTAGATTTGCAGCCCACCAACTCTGAGGGCTGTCTGGAATCACCCAAGTGTTCCCCACCTGTGTGGGGATTGTCACTAACAAAAAACAAGTCCACCTCCAGCTTATAGGGTCACAGAGTACTTACTTGTTAGTAATTGTGGAGACAGGCGGTACAAATTCCTGTGACCTTTCATGGCTGGCTTCTTCCAGGTCAGATTCCTTAGAAAATAAACAAGATTTTCATTACCTCCCAGGCAAAGTTAGGATTTAAGATGTCAATTTAGTTCAAAATACTTTAGGAGTAATACACAACTCAGAACACTCCAAATGCTAACTCAAGGGTTAGACTGAGGACCCAGGACAACTCTATTCACTACACTTTTTCCCGTTGTTGCTCTGAGACAAGACAGAAAAGGGCTCCCATGTCAGGATAACGCAGCCAGCATTTACACACCCCAAGACTTGCACCCACAGAAGTGTCAATACACTCATGCAAATCACGAGCACAGTCCCCACACTAGTAACGAAGTTACTAGTAACGAAGAGCAGGCCGCTCTGCTAACCTTTTTAACCTAAATGAAAAAAATAAAATGAAAAATTAAGTTCAGAGATCTTATCACACGCATGTTGATTTTCAGGCTAATACAGTTAGCTTTATCAAGTTCTGTGTATTTTTTTAAATTTTACTCCTAATAATGAGGTATTTGGAACATAGCTTGCCTCCTGCTTCAAACGTTGTACTTATGAGCACATGATTTTGTTAAATTCTACATTCCAAGCATTTTCCATCAGCCTCGATGATTAATAGCAGCACAGCAAAATAAGCCCTAATCAAGGGACAGGGGGCAGCTCTCTCCTCCCAGAGCTGGTTATAACACGTGCTACAGCTACAGAAAGGGAACAAGCACAGCAGCACCCTGCTGAGAGCAGTTCAAGGCAGGTTCAGGATCTGATGCTGCCCTCTCTCAGGTGACCCAGCGCAAGAAATCATTGCACTACCTTTAGTCACTTAAAGGCGTGTAAGGCTTTATTCCTTTTCTGCAAAGCTTTCTGGGGCCTTCCAGGTCTTGGGGTCCCAGACAACTATCATCCTGTAAATAAGGCATTCAGATAGGCGAACATGTTGAGAAAACAGCTCCGAACTAGAAGACAGCTCCTCACTACAGCCAACGCCAGGCACTGTTACAAAATCTGGAGTCACCAAGGCACAATCAGCTGGAGGAAACCAGGTGAGGATGCAAGAAGCCTTTCTGGCATGCTCCAGGTTCCCAAACTTCCCTTTTCTCCTGCAGGTATCGATTTGGGCTGTCACAAACCTCTGTGCAGAATTCGCCTGACTTTGCTAACGCCCCCAGCCCAACTCTGCAACTCCAACAGCTGCATGGGCAAGGCCACCCTTCTGGGCTGGGGCTTTGGGGGGGTGAATCGTGTACCTGTTATCAGCCCACATGCCGTATCTTTACACATTTAGCTGAAAAAAAAAAAAACAAAAAAAAACAGAAAAGGCAGAAAAACCAGAAAGAGGTGCGGGAGCCCCGCAGCTCTCCTGGTACCCGCTGGTACCTCCCGCAGCACTCAGCACCGGGGCACTTCTCCAGCAGGACCTTCTGAAGCTCCAGCGGCGGATTTTTAGCAGCCGTACCCTCTCCGCAGGTTTTTCAGCCCAAAAAGGCGCAGGGCCGGGGCGCTCCGCCCGACCCTCAGCGAGCCAGCCCCGCGCCCCCCCGACCCCCTCGGGTCCCCCATCCCGTCCCACCGCCTCCCTTCTCGCCCCCTCAGAGCCGGGGGCTGCCCGCAGTGCCCGCTCTGCCCCTCACCGTGCGGCCAGGGCCGGGCGCTGCCCCCCGGCGGCCTCGGCCCCGCGGGCGGAGCGGGCGCGGCGCTGCTCAGGGCCCGGCCCGGCCGGCGGCCGCCATCTTCTGCCGGGACCATCGGCAGCCCCCCGGCTGCTGCCCGCCGCTGACGCGCCAGGCCCCGCCTTTCTGCCTGACTGACGGCTCTCCTGGCCAATCGCCGCGCGGGGATCGCTGACTGGCAGCGCGGCTCGCCAATCGGTGTGAAGGAGGAGGGGATGGAGGCCTCCCGCCTGCCCGCCGTGGCACACCCCCCCCGTGACTGGCATGGCCGGGGCCGGCTCTGTCACACCCCCGGGGCCGGGACACGGCCACCGAGCGGCCACCGAGCGGCCCCCGGCGCTCCCCGAGTGTGACTGACACCCGGAGACCGGCCCCTGTTCCTCCCTCAGTTTGAGTGATACAGCCCCGTCACAGCCCCGGGGGGAAAGGCACAGGCAGAGCGCTGCCCCTGTCACACCCCCGGTGTGACTGTCACTGCCCCTGTCACACCCACAGGGACTGCCACAGGCAGAGCACTCCCCCTGTCACACCCCCAGGGATTGTCACAAGCACAGCACTACCCCTGTCACACCCCCAGTGTGACTGTCACAGCCTGGCACCAGCCCCTGTCACACCCCCAGCGACTGTCACAGGCAGAGCACTGCCCCTTGTCACACCCCCAGGGATTGTCACAAGCACAACGCTGCCCCTTGTCACACCCCTAGAGACTGCCACAGGCAAAGGACCAGCCCCATCACACCCCCAGTGTGACTGATGCAGGTGTAGGACCAGCCCCATCACACCCCCAGGGACTGTCACAAGCAGAGCACTGCCCCTTGTCACACCGCCAGTGTGACTGTCACAGCCTGGCATCACCCATCACACCCCCAGGGACTGTCACAGGCAGAGCACTGCCCCTGTCACACCCTCAGGGACTGTCACAGGCAGGGGACCAGCCCCATCACACCCCCAGGGACTGTCACAGGCAGAGGACCACCAGCCCCATCACACCCGCAGGGTGACTGATGCAGCCAGGGACCAGCCTCGTCACTTGCTGTGACCAAGCCCCCGAGATCAGCCCCCATCACACACATCTGTGTGACCAACGCCACCAGAGAACAACCCCTGCTCCAACCCACCGTGTGCCTGTCACACTGAGACCACCCCTGTCCCCTGACCTGTCACAGCACCATCGCCTGACACAGTGATGTCCCCTAATGTCCCCCTCCTCACACTCACTCAGCCAGCAGAGCCGAGGAAGCCAAAGAGCAGCGAATGCACACCGTGGTCACACTAGCCATCAAAAAACACATCAGGGGACAGCACCACGCCGTCACAGGAGCAGCAGACTGTTAACACTCATTTAATAACGCAAGATGTCCGGAGGCACGGGGGGATCCACCACCAGCAAGCCCAGAAGCGATGCCCCCGAGCAGGGTGTCAGCCACGCCTGCTGCGTGCCGTGATTTCTGCACAAACCACCTGCACTGCCCACGGATAACGGAGGAATGACTGTGTGAGAGAGTGCGAGTGCACTGGGTGTGTGTGAGCAATCCCCTAAATACACGGGCTGCAGGGGAGAAGCCTCCAGATCCAGGACTCTTTGCTAAATCAAGTCAGGGGTATGATGCCTGTGCTATGCAGATGAGCTGTCATATTGTCTCCCACACAAGACTGTCTCCAAAGGAACCTACACCTACTGCAAATATCCTGCAGCATATGGACATTTATAGGTCAACCTGGGAAAAAAAAGTGAGAATAATGATTGTCCTAAAAAAGCAGGAACCCAAATAATTTTCCAGTATATATTTGCACACAAGGAACAGGATGAATTATATATACCTGAGAGCCATTAGAAAATGTCAGATTGCCTCTAAAATGAATTAGGAAAAAAAAAAACGACCCCAGCTTTCTTGTGCAATAAGTAAATAAGAATCTCTAATAAAAAGTCGATCCCTGAAGTGACTTTGCAAATGTACCCTTAGCTTCTGTCGTGCTGGGGACAGAGTCTGGGACCTTGTCCTAGCAGCCAGAAACACCATGGAGCTGACACTGATAGAAGAGCTGCGCTTTCATTGCAGGAGCGACCGTGATTTATAAACCGGGAACTCCTCCTGTAATGATTTCAGAGCAAACCCAGAACGTTTGTTACCCTTCTCTAAATGGAGCTGGAAAAAAATAACTTCGGGTGCCAACTCTGTGAAAACAACGCGTGCCTTGACAGCAGAGCGTTAGAGGATTTAAAAATGAAGACCCAGCAATATTCTGGGTGTGGTGGGAAGAAGGGGACAGGCAGCCCCGCAAGTCTCTTTGCATTTCCAAACTCTCAGCATTCCCCTCCAGCACGTACCTGCCACACCTCCCAGATGTTTGCACCACCCCCAGAATATTTTTCCAGAGCTTTGGTCTCTGAAGAGAGAAAAGGAGCTGAACTCTCCATCGACTGACACTTCTGCTGGAGAGCTGAGATTTCTATAATTACCATTGGAGAGAATTTGGGGAGGCAGGTGGATTTTTTTTTTTTTTTTTGTAAACTTGGATGTCGCACATTTAAAAACAAAACATTTTACTTAAACATCAGCACGTTGGTTCATAATTGCAGTGCGGGGAAGAGGAGCACGTCAGTAGTTGGAGAAACATTGAATTTGCAGGGAAGCAACTGAAGCGTTTGCACAGAAGGGGGCAAATGGAGATAAGACAGGCTGTCTTCTGCTTGCATTCAGCTGTCGGGAAACTTGCACAGCAGAGATTTATCCTTTTTAAAAGAGAAGCAAGGAGGAAAAACAGAAATCTATAGGAACACCTGCTTTCCCTTCTCCTATCTGCAAACTCTCAGTAGATTTAACATTGGACCGCAGCTTGACTGGTTGACACAGTCGGTTTTCTACCACAACAGATCTCTCTCACATCTCTGTTGGGGTCTGTGCACCCACGTGCAGGACCATCCTCACAAAGGTCACATAGTTCAAGGGCGAAAATCAATCTGCCTTGAATATTTTGGCCACAGATCATAGAATCACAGAACGGTTTGGATTGGAAAGGACCTTAAAGATCATCACCTTCCGACCCCTCTGCCATGGGCAGGGACATGTTCCACCAGACCAGGTTGCTGAATGACCAAGGTGTCCGTCTTTGAACATTTGTATGAATGTCTTTTCATTTGGCTCCCTTTTGGAAGAGTCAAGACATAAAAATCCCTTGCTGATGGGCAGCTAGTGAGCCCCAGCTGGCTGTTTTTCAGCCACTGCTCTCTGTCATCACCCACGAAAGAGATGTTTTTGTGGAACTAGGCACACTCAGGGCAGCAGAGAAGCTTTCTCATATATATATTTATTATTATTATTATTTTGCCTTCATCGACAGGGAGATGAGTTTGTACTGGACACACAGCTATGTATTAAATGTACAAGTGTCTCTGCAAAACCCCTCTAACCTACGAGACGCCGAGGGTCTGGTTTGATTTGCATTTGTCAGCCTTTCTGATCTGAAGTGTAAGAAACGCAGTGTGGTGTTCTTACACCTGGGAGATCTCACGAAACACTTACCTGCAGCAGAGGCAGCTCGGCTCCATATGGACGAGCAAGCCTAACCTTTAAAACTGTCTGCAAGACGGGAGCAAATGAAGTCCTGAACGAGTGCATAAGGGAACAGGATATAATAAAACTAAACAGGTAATCACTGCTAGATTATCTCGAGACACAGACTAACACAAAACAAACCAGAGGAGAGAGCTTAAGACATTTGATAACCGAAGCACTGCTCCAGTGCAGAGTGTGATAACAGGCAATCTCATCCTTGATGTCTCTGTATTTCCTTCCTGGAAACTCTGCAATTATTCAGATTAAAAAAGCATCACTTGCTTGAATCCAACTAGCATTATTCACGTGGTTTTACGCATATATCCTGTACAGATGCCTCCGTGACTTTGCAGAAAATAAACCGTACTTTATATAAAGCAATCAACTCGCCAAGTAAAATTTAAATTGCCCTACGTATTTAACAGTTTCTGTTGTTCTTTTTTTCCTTCCTAGAGAACTGAAACTTGAGCTAATGAATTAGAAAATACAAAATAATCAAAAACACCTAGAAAAAAAGAGGTTAAAATAGTTATTCTTGCTCAGCTGAGGAATCTATCGGTTATCTGTCCCAGATTTAATTACTGAAAACCACAAAGATTGTCTAGCTCAGCACAAAGTTTCTGACCTGAGCCAATTTCATATTTGACAGGATAAAATACCACTTACTTAGAAGAACGAGCTGAATAACACCTACTAAGCATGCATGCTGATGAGCTTTCAGAGGGGCGATGTCTTTACAGATCCAGCCCCATTTTGATGAAACGCACTTGAGAGATTCAACCAGCGTGAGCAGGGAACAGGGCACAGCCCGTGGCCATGTTTCTTCTGGGTACCAGATCTTCCCTGGTGCGTGACTCTGCCTGCTGTGTCCTTTGGGGTGACTTTTAAACCAAAAGATCACGGGCAACGCAGAGCAGCCAACATAATCAAAGCCCCTGTCATCCGTAATAACTCCAAGATTCCCAAACTGCTTATAAGTACACGGTAGCCACATAAAAATTAATGACCCATTGATTGCAAACAGCAAAGTACAAGGCAAAAACAGATTTGTTGATGTATCTATTTGCCATTCTCTGCCCGTCCTCACACTAAAAATGTTTCTGGTTACGGTTACTGTTAATTGGTTTTTATCTTGCAGCGGAGCTAAGAGGTTTCAGCTGAGATGGGGTTTCACTCGGTTAGGCAATTACACAAACATCCAGATGCACAGAAAATCCCTGCTTTGTAATCCAGACGAGGCAGAACACAGTGAGTTATCTCAGTACTAAAGGGAGGTTTCTGATCTGGAAAAAAAAAAAATATATCTGGCTGACCAAGGAAGCACCAGGGAAGGTGAAAAAGTGAATCATCTCCTCCTTGTGCTTCATCTGCTACAGCTCACAGGTTAAAAACTCAGCCTCGGTTGCCTGAATTTTAGCTCATCAACTGCAACACGCAGAAGGATGGTATTTTCAGACACACCACATCTTCTGAAGACATTCCTCCTAAGGAGGGCTTCCTCGCGCGGTGTCATTATCTCCGACAGATTTGCTTTGGAAATTTCCTCCCGGGGCTCCTCCAAGTTGACAAGTGAATTCTCTGCATCGGAAATAT